CTGAATTCCCTGAGGAAGGCAACTGCTACAGTTTTTTTAATGAGGGTTCTGATTTTTGTTTTGGTTTTTCGGGTTAGGTATCCTACATTGTGTGTAGATTTGTATCGATTGGTCAGTTGGAGCTCTAGTTCCTCAAATTCTTTTTGATGGGCAGGTTTAATGTGCGCATTGGTAGTAAAAGTTCTGAAGAAATCTCTTCTTCGGAGTTCTATTTTTTTGAAGCTGTTGGAAAGGGACTCTCTTTTCCTTCCTTTTTTTGCCTTGCAAATGTCATTGAAAAAATTAAGAATTCCATCGGCATCGTGCTCATAGTCATCAAGTTTGGCAACCCAGCTCAGGATTGCATCATGTTCATCAACAAATTTGTGTTCTCTAATATTGTTATTATTAGCAAACCAGGAACCACTGGGAATTGGAGCGTCAGAATCCAGGGGAGTAGTATTTAGGTGTACAGGGGTAGCTTTATTTTTAGATTGCGTATTGAGATCTGCAGAGTACACTTGTGAGACCTCCTTATCCCACGACATGTGGGGAGGATCTTCTCTTTGAGTGTCATTTTCTTCAGAAATGGTATCATTATCTGAAGGTATGATTGGATCATCTATCACCATACTAATTTCTTTAATAGGGTCTGTGATATGCGGAGTGGTGTTACGATTGACCAAATTTTCAGGGGAAATGTGTGCTTCAGTGTATGTTGTTACATCATGTAAGGGGTATGCGTGAGGGAGATCATCAATTTGCATGGGAGTACCATGCACAGTATGTTGATCATTGGTAGGGGATAAGCTGTCCTGGGTTTTTGTAGGTGAATTGGTCGACTTGGGGCGAGAGAGAAAGTTATTAGAGGAAGAGAGAGTGGGGACTACCTCAGTTGGAGCTGGGGTGTTTGGTGGGGGAGCAGGAGTTTCTTTTCTTTTGGCTTCGAATGTGTTTGTTTCTTCATTGGCAGTGATTGAAAGCATGTTCCAGGGAAAATGGAGGTCATAGTTAAGAGTATTTTTAACAACTTCTCAAATTGCGATGTTTCTGTCATCTTTGTCAAGCTTAAAGTCCAGTTGGTGTGCTGTGAATTCGTTTAGAGTGGAGAGAAGCTTGGGAGAGAGAGGAGATACTGAAACATTAAGTTGTGGGTTAAAAAGACGGGTTGTTTGCCTCTTAGGTTCAAATTTGATTTCAAAAAATTCTACGGTTTTAACATCAGGATTCTTGGAATCAGTTTTGATAGAGGGAATAAGCCATGAAGTAGGATGATTAGAGAGAGGGGGAATTTGCGCTGCTTTTGCAGGTTTGGAGACAAATACTTTGGAAGTTTTGCAGTTTTTGTATATAATTGAAGCTTTTGGTATTTTATTATCAGAGAGGACAACGTCCAAGAGAATATGTTCAGAGTTGCTAGCATATGGTTTGGAGGGGGAGCCTCCCCCCTCCTTGGAGAAAGTTTTAGATGAAATTTTGTTTTTGTTTTTGAATTTCTAAAATGGTAATACAGATGCGAGTGGGAAAGAGTTTTTAATTTTGTTGTTTTCTTGTTGTAATATCATATTTTGTTATAATTGTTATGGTGCGCTTTTTTCCCTATTGTCTCTGCGACTGCTATTTCTTTTTTGTAATTGCTGACTGACCGTTTTCCAACAAATCGGTTAGCATTCTTTCCATTTGCTCAATTTGTTTTTCTAGTTTGTCTTGTCTTTCTGCTACTTCATCGTTGATTGCCTTATATGTTGCCAGGGGAATTTCATCTTCTTCTATGTTCATTTCCTTTGCATCCTGATATTGCGTTTGCTGCTCTTCTTTTCTTTCCCTGCTGTATTCTTCTTCTTTTTGTTCTTCCTGATTTGCCATCCACCATTTCCAAAGGATGTTGATTTTGCCTTCCATGCTTTTGATTTTCCCTTTTAGATTGCTCAATCGTTTTCTGATTCCTTCCTGTTCTCCATTTTCTTTTTTGTATACTGATCTGAATCTGCTACGCTTTCTCAAAATCTCTGCGAAGGATATTGGTGCCTCTTTTTCTGGCCCCTTTCTAAATCTTGATTGGATTGATTCAAATTTTGCTTGGGCAATCGATCTATCTCTTTGGATTCTCACCTCCTCACATTGAAAAGCGATGTGTCCACTCTGCCCACACTTATAACATAATCTTTCATATTGGCTCACGAAATTGATTGTTGTCCTACCCAATTTGAAAGTTTGTTTCTCTGCTTCTTTTAATTGGTCTTCTGTTTCGAATGCTATGTATGCAAATCTTTCCCTAAAGTATCTGCCTGTTCTTGGAATGTATAGGGTTTTTCCTTTCGTTTCTCTAGTAATTTCTTCTAGATCATATGCAGTAGTACCTGCTGGCAATCCTGCCAATTTAAGTATGTATTTAAATCTTCTTGCTAGTTCCTCTTTCTCTTTCCACTTTGGAAGTATTCTCAGGTGTTCTTTTTCGAATGGAATTGACCACATCTCAGCTAAGAGTTGTGCATCTTTTTCTTCTTTAAACATCACTGTTGCTGTTAACCACAATTCTACTGGTCGAATATCTATGCTATGGATATCCCCAAACTTTCTTAAAGTTGCTTTGATTGCCCCCTCACTTGTCGAAAGGGGAATGTCTCTGACTATCACTGTATTTTTTCTTTCTGATTGGTGCTCCTTTTGTTTCACCGGGATTAGGTGTTCTCTATTTTCATCTGTACCAAAGTTAATGTCACATGCCTCCTGCATATCAATGAGATTACCAAAAATGGCAATGATTGCTTTCTTTTTTCCCGCTGTTTCTCTTCCCACTCTCACCCCCAGGAAAGAGTCGAAGACTATACATGCTTCCTCTACTATCTCGAGCATTTTTGCTAATTCTGTGCCTGCTGCAAGCTCTAGTTCACATGTGTGTCTTGGTTTTCTTTGCACTTCTCTTGGCTGCCCCTCTTTCTTTTCCTCACTTGTCTTCTCTTCGTATGATCCCATTTCTTCCGCTTTAATGTCTGGTCCTATGATATTTCCATTTTCTTCTCTTGTCCTTGGTCCTTCTTCAATTTCCATTTCTTGTTCTTCTACTGCCTCTTGCATTTCATCCTCTACTTCTTCTTCATCCTCTTCGGTTTCCTTGTTTTTTCCTTTTCCCATATCCATGCTTGCTGCCCGTACTGGTATTTTTTTTCTCTTTTCTTTGTCCAAACTTTTCGGTCTGCCTGGCCCTCTCTTGACAATGGTAGTTGCTATTACTCTTGCTTCTCTGGTAGCATTTATTGTTTTTCTTTCTGTACCTCTTCCTCTTCCCGCACTTGAAGTTGTTGCTTGACTGACTCCCATTTTTCTTTTCACTTTCTTGTCGCTTTCCAAAAGTTTCCTAAAAAGGCAATTTATTTCGTGTTCTTCCAATAAATTTATATACTGTAGTGTTTGGATTATTATCAAGAATAAAAGATCTTATTAATTTATTATTTTAACTATATCTTTTATCTTTTTAGCAGTATTTTTCATGTTATTTGTCATTTTTTTATATGTGATGAAATTATCAAAGTCAAAATCGACTTTCATGACTTGCTAAAAAAATTTTTTTTATATAAAAAGTCAATTCTTATATTAACTGTTCTTGGTACAAATTGTAAAAAAATTTTAAATATTAATTTCTTGCATTTTATAATGACATGGGTACATATTTCTGATTAAATTTGTTCATACAAAATCATAAACAATCTCTAATTAAATGAAATAAGCAATAAGTTAAAATTATAAATTTAAAGTTCATTCATATTAAATGCAACAGAATTAATTATCTTCACTCTTTAATTCAATCATAATTCTAAAAACACTGTCAGTATACAAAAATATTAGTGTGACTGATATGGAATAAAGAATTACATCAGGAAATTTTTTTGGTGGAGATCTCCGGAGATCTCCACCCATAAAAAAATTTTCAAAAATTTCCGGAAAAA